AATAATGTACTCCAATAATTAAATTTGAATTAGCTCCACGGCTCGAAAGCCGTCCCAAAAGGGTTATTGAAATAAATTACACCTAATGAACCGCGCGGAATTTTCTTACACTTAGCGAAGGGGGTGACGGAAAACTACCCTGCAAGAACAGTGACTATCATTTGACAAATCATTTGAGTAGCAAGACTGATAGAGATTTCTGTCTGTGGCTACCTACAAGTTTCTATCAAATTCTAAAGCGCAGTGTGAAAGATCTGATGGAAAATTTTGTGTACGTGTGATGCTTCATCTCCTTCTAACATATACGTTTTGGCATATTGCTAGACTGCCCTACAAGGCGCGATTGACAGAAACTCCAACACATTCACAACGAAAACTAACACATATGCAAAATCTTATATGTTAGTTTGGCCCTGTAGTGAATGACTGTCATTTGATCGATCAAATGAGTCGCAACGCTGATAGAAGTAACGGTTGTTGGTTGCCATAGTAACCGCAAGATTCGCTAGGCCTGCATTTTGTGCTCAACAAAAGTAGTTTAACCAGCCAGATTATGTCGAGTACTGAAGTACTTGGATATAATTTTGAACTTAATTAGTTTAAACGATAATTTTATCATTATTCGACCCTCTCATAGCAAAAGTAAGTAAAAATAAAAGTTTTTGTTGTGGTATAACATATTTTTATACATAAACGTAATAAATAAAACCGTATTATAAAGTACTTGGTTCTAAAGAAGTTCAAATGCGCGCATCAACAGAAAAAGGAAAGACGCAAAACGAAAAGATGCTCAAAACTCAAAATTCTGTGGAAAAATAAATATAAGTTTTATAAAATATTTAATTTAAAATGAAGAGAAGAGCTTTTAATAACGCCATGAGCAAGAAAAACTGATTTACGAGTCCAATATTAAAAAATTTTATCGACATCGCCAGTTCTCTACCACTGCAGGCCTATTGCGCTGTGGATTTAATAGAAACAAAATTAAAAAATCCAGAGTATACATAAACCATGGTAATGATTTATATTTTATGGAATACATATTTCACGTTCTAATTGCTGTACATCAATTTTTCGAAAGACCACTTATATCATAAAAATAAAAGGTGTGTTTGAGGACGTAGCCAGCGGTATAAAACTTTTTTTTTCGGACGAGGCATTGCTGCAGTTTAACTGGGACGG